GCCTGTAGTCCCAGCTACTCAGGAGGCTGAGGCAGGAGAATGGCGTCAACCCGGGAGGCAAAGCTTGCAGTGAGCTGAGATCACGCCACTGCACTCCAGCCTGGGTGACAGAGCGAGACTCCGTCTCAAAAAAAAAAAAAAAAAAAGTAAATTATGGGTAGGCAGAGGAACAAAAAATAAAACAAATAAATAATAAATAATATCTTTAAATAAAAGTTTCTAGAATGAGGATATAACGAAGAAAACATTAGCCAGGCATGGTGGCATACACCAGTTGTCCTAGCTAGCTATTGGGAGGCTGAGGTGGAAGGATCACTTGAGCCCAGGAGTTCAAGACCAGCCTGGGCTGTTGCCTGGGCAACAGAGCAAGAGCTCAACTCTTTAAAAAAAAAAAAAAAAAAAAAAAAAAAGTGATTTTAGTGTGACAGGAAAAAAAGAAAAAATATTTTTATACAGATGTACAATGTGTTTTAAGCTAATATTACAAAAGAGTCAGAACGTTAAAAAATGTAAAAATTTATAAAGTACAAAAATTACAGTAAGCTAACATTAATTTTTGAAAAAAATAATTTTTTGATTTAGTGCAACCTAAGCTGTACAGTGTTTCTAAAGTCTACAGTAGTGTACAGTAATGCCCTAAGCCTTCGCATTTACTCACCACTCACTCACTGGACGCATCCAGAGCAACTTCCAGTCGCGCAAGCACCATTCATAGTAAGTGTCCTGGTCAGGTGAACCATTTTTTATTTTTTGTACCGTATTTTTCCCGTACTTTGCTTGTTTAGATATGTTTAGAAACACAAATACTACTGCATTACAATTGCCTATTTATTCAGTACAGTCACATGCTGTACAGTTTTGCAGCTTAGGACCAACAGGTTATATACCATATAGCCTACACGTGCAGTAGGCTATACCAGCCAGGTATGTGTAAGTACATTCTATGATGTTCACACAACAACAAAATCACCTAATGATGCATTTCTCAGTACGTATCGCCAATGTTAAGCAACACACGGCTGTATTTTCATCTCTTTTTCTTCACATTGCATGTATGCTTCTTGATATTGCTTAAATTTATAAATCAAGGTCCTATATATACTTACATTACTATTGTATTAATGCTAATAATATTCTGTAAACTATTCCATCTTGATTAAGGCCATCAGTGCCCATTAAAAATTTTTTTTAATTGGGTTGAATGCCCTATTCGTTTTGAATTTTACATTCCCACAATGTGTGGCAGCTAATGCTTCTGGCACATCTATTGAGAACATAAAAGTTCTCCTGGAACTAACAAATTACTTTCCTTCCAACATAATTATATAATCTGAGAGTTGAAAAGCACCCTAGAGATTATTCTGTGGTCCAAAATCCCTCCCGATTAAGGAATCTCATCTAAAACTACTCAACTCTGTCCGCAGGAAGGGATGCTAATCTTTAGATTCCCCATGACACAGTGCTGCCGCCATCGTAGGCTCTTTAATACATGCTTATTGTTGTTTTTAATACACGTTTGTTGAACTGAACAAATCTAAAATGGACGTATTTCACTCATTTTCTTTTTCTTCCCAGGCTTTAGCTGTAACACCCACTGCATCTGTAATTGAAAGCTTTGCATGATTCCTCTGCACATTAACCAACATTCAAAAAGAAATTCAATAAAGGAAACTAAATGTTTCAATGCATTAAAGAAACTTCATTTTAACAGTTTAAAATTTTAAGCTCCTGGACTGGCAAAGTGGCTCTTGCCTATAATCCCTGCAATTTGGGAGGCTGAGATGGGAGGATCTCTTAAGCCCAGGAGTTTGACAATAGCCTGGGCAACAAAGGGAGAACCTGTGATATGGTATGGCTCTGTGTCCCCACTCAAATCTCATCTCGATTTGTAACCCCACCTGTGGAGGGAAGGACCTGTAATCCCTCCCATGTGTTGAGTGAGGGAGGTAACTGGATCATGGGGAGTTTCCCCCATGTGGTTCTCATGCTAGTGAGTGCTCACGAAATCCAATGGTTTTATAAGTGTTTGGGAGTTCCTCCTTCGCTTCTCTTTCTCCTGCTGCCTTGTGAAGAACGTTCTTACTTCCCCTTTGCCTTCTGCCATGATTGTAAGTTTCCTGAGGCTTCCCCAGCCATGTATAACTGTGAGTCAATTAAACCTCTTTCTTTATAAATTACTCAGTCTCAGGTATTTCTTTATAGCAGTGTGAAAATGGACTAATACACCCTGTCTCCACAAAAAATTTAAAAATCAACCAGGTATGGTGACTTGCGCATGTAGTCCCAGCTACTTGGGAGGCTGAGATGGGAGGATTGCTTGAGCACAGGAGGTTGAGGTTGCAGTGAGCCATGATCACACCACTACACTACAACCTGCGTGACACAGTGAGACCCTGTCTCAAAAAAATAAATAAATAAAGGCCGGGCACGGTGGCTCATACCTGTAATCCCAGCACTTTGGGAGGCCGAGGCGGGCGGATCACAAGGTCAGGAGATTGAGACCATCCTGGCTAACACGGTGAAATTCCATCTCTACTATAAATACAAAAAATTAGCCGGGCGTGGTCGCAGGCACCTGTAGTCCCAGCTACTCGGGAGGCTGAGGCAGGAGAATGGCGTGAATCCAGGAGGCAGAGCTTGCAGTGAGCTGAGATCGTGCCACTGCACTCCAGCATGGGAGACAGAGCCAAGACTCTGTCTCAAAAAAAAATAAAAAATAAAAAATACAATATAAAAACTAGCCAAGCATCATGGCAGGCGCCTGTAATCCCAGCTACTCAGGAGGCTGAGGTAGGGAGAACTGCTTGAACCCGGGAGGTGGAGGTTGCAGTGAGCTGAGATCAAGCCACTGCACCCCAGCCTGGGCGAAAGAGGAAGACTCCGTCTCAAAATAAATAAATAAATAAATAAATTTTTAAAAATAAAAATGTAAGCTCCTAGAATCGCCTGAACCTGGGAGGCGGAGGTTGCAGTGAGCCGAGATCCGGCCACTGCACTCCAGCCTGGGCGACATAGCGAGACTCTGCCTCAAAAAAAAAAAAAAGAAAAAAAGTAAGCCCTAGAAGGCAAGTCTTATGCCTGGTCTGACTTGTAAGATGCCGTGAGGTAGCCTAAACAGACAAGTAAGCTTTCAACATTAATGTTCCTAATGTCAGTGCATAATAAAACATTTAACAGAAAATGGAAAATTAAGCCTTTGTTAGTTTGCTTATGATCTATAGTTTTCAATTTATCAAAAAGACGTTTTCCATTTCTAGTATGATTTATTATTATTATTTTTAATTTAGAGATGGGGGTCTGTTGGCCAGGTTGGTCTTGAACTCGTGGCCTCACCACCTTGGCCTCCCAAAGTGCTAGGATTACAGGCATGAGCCACCGCGTCCGGCCTGGTGTGATTTTTCAAAACAAATAGTCTTGCATCATTTGTGCAACTAAACTATACTTATAATTGGGGTGCTCACAGATTTAGGCATACTAGTGTAGTAAGACATGCTATTATGCTAATCAGCTTTCCCTTCAGTTAAGAGCCTGTGATCCCATCTGATTTCCCATAACATGATATGATAATGAAGAGAATAAAGCCTCCGGAGCAGTAAGCACCACGAATAATTTTACTTTACTCAAATATGCATTCCAAAACAGTGTATAATTTACAGCACGGCCCTGGTTAGCTGTTACAATGCATCTGTTTTGGGGACTTTTACAATATATGGTAGGATACAAAGCATACGTTTGCAAATCTTTCTTTCTGTTTTGCTGAAAGGGCGCACACATGGGATCCCTTAACAGCACAATTCACTAACTAATTTTCTTCAGGCAGTAATTCAAATTCCCACTTCCTCCTAAATACCTCTGGACAGCAACTCCTGGCAATCCATCTGTCTCTTTCGCCACAGCTTCTTTTCATAACTAACGGGTCAAGTTCCTTTCCCCATTTCGACACCATGCACTGTACTGCGGCCCTGCCACCATAGCCCACTGCTGAATGCTGGAGTATAACATATTGGATTTCACTGTCCTTCACTGTTTGCAGTTTAACTGCCATTTTACCACAATGCACACAAGAGAAATGCATTCCCACAGGCATCTTATGAATTTCCAAAGCAGCTATTCTTTGTGGATTTACAAAACATGTGCTTCTCTGAACTCCCTTCATCACCACAGAAACGGCTTTGGGAAGCCGAGATTTTTGTTTGAAGTACCCTACCTATTATAAAAAAGAAACTGATTCTAAAACATCTTTATTTTCCTAGCTAATTTAATTCTAAGGCTCTTCCCACAAGGCAGTGGAGGAACGTCAGAGCAAAAATATTAAATCCTGCTTTTGGTCTTCCCAATTAATATGAAACATTGTCAGCACACAAAGATTATTATATCAAATGTCCTTTCTTCTCAGACTACACCATAAAGGCTACCCAGCGCACTGTAAAATAAACAGCTGACTGTGGCTTATGCACAACGCCCTAAATCTTCCGAAGACACCCCCACCCCCACCCCTCGGCTTTGGGCTCACAGACACCTAATCCCTCGGCAAACCCCAAACCTGCCAATGAAGCGCACTATTTCTCTGCCACAAAGGCCGGCCCGCGCCTCGTGCACACCAGCCTCCGCACACATGTGCCTGGCTGACAAGTGCGGAGCGGCTCTTCCTGGATCAAAGCCGTTGGCCTGAACCGAAAGCCGCACTCTTCCCAGCCCACTGCCTTCTCCCGCGGCCGCTCTCCCCGGTAACAGGCGGCCGAACCCAAGCGCTCCGGCTGCAAGCCGGTCACCCCCTCCGCCCGGCGCGTCCTGTGCGGCCACACTCAGACCCGCTTCCCCTCAGCCCCAACGTCCTTGGTCCTTCCCCCCTTTTTCGCCTCAGGAAATTCCGTCGGAACATCATTCTGCACCAGCGGGGCGGCGCGGGCACACCCTCCTCCAGCGGCCGCGCCCCTCGCGCCTCCACCCGAAGGGGCCGGAGACCCTGCGACCCCGGCCCGCCCAGCCTGGCGCCTCACCTCCTCCTCGCTCTCGCTGCGGAAACACAGGCATGCGGCCCGCTTCTTGTAGCCGTCGCCGTCGTAGGTGCGGGTCTGGTTCGACTTAAGCTTCATCATCCTCTGGGCCCGGGTGGGGGGTGCGGTGCGGGTCGCGGGAGTCGAGGGGTGGGGAGCCCGCTCTGGACGGCCGCGTGCGCGCGCGCCCCCGGCTTGGCCAAGGGAAGCAGGGAGGGGGAGCTTGTCCGCTACACGGCTCCGCCGCTGGCCTGCCGCGGCCGCCTCATTCCCCCCGGCCCAGGTCCCGCGCCGCCGCTGCCACCGTCACGGCTGCCGTCTCCGCTGCCGCCAGGGCCGCCGCCCCCTCTGCCACCGCCACCCCCGACGACGACCGCGCCGCCATCTTGGGCGCGATGCGTCAGCGGCGTAAGGCCGCACCGGCCTGCGGGACGACCGCGCGCTCGCAGCGCAGGCCGCGTTCGGGAATCGCGCCCTCCCAATCCGCGCGGCGGAAACCAGCGTCTGAAAGGAGCTGGCCGCGCGACTACAGGCGGCCGCTACGCCGCCAGCGTAGGCGTAGAACTGGGGGTGCCGCGCGGAAGAAGCCGGCGGAGATAGGGTACCCGCGCAGGACGCCTAGCGGCCTGAGCGGAGACCCAGCGGTCCAGCTTCGCCAGTCAGCGGATGGGGAAGCGGGGACTTGGCCAAGGTCACGCCGCTTCTCCGCGGCCGAGGATGAACCAAGGTCATGCCACCCGCCCCTGGGCCGTGCCTGTCGGTCTCGAAGGGGTTGAGGGGGAAGGTCTGAAGGAAAAGGCAGGATGTAGTTAAAGGCAACGGAAGCTGCAGCTGGAAACACTTGAGATTTGGAACTGCACGGAAAAGGGGCCTGGGAGGCGTGCTCACTTTCGTTGATAACCTGAACCTCTGGATGTCTTATGGGCTGGCGCATGTCGCCCATTACGAAGAACAAATATTTATCCTGAAATCCTTTATTGATGCTAAAAGCAATTGCTTCCTCTTATGGTAAACGAGGGCCCGAAAGGAAGACGTGCGCGTGTGTGCGTGTGTTACACACATAATGTAAATCATAAAACATCATCGTTTCTGGCAATAAATGAGGAGTGTGTGTTGTGGATGTCAAACAGATTCTCCAGAAAAAGATACACAGACAGAAGCTCTCCAGAAAGGAAAACTGGTGTATGACCTGTGAATGTTCTCAGCAACCCAGAACAAAGCTAGTACCATGCAGATGCCCTAAACATACCAAAACTCCTATGCAGTGTCTGTCTGTGAATTGCTTAATACCCTTTTTGGTTTTTTTACTTTTTTAATTTAATTTTTTGTTGAGATTGGGGGTGCGCCTCATTTTGTTGCCCAGGCTGGTCTGGAATTCGTGGCCTCAAAGCTATCCACCCTCGGGCTTCCAAAGCGCTGCGATTACGATTACTTGTGTGAGCCACTGTGGCCGGCTAATCACCCTTTTTGAATTTGCTTGTGTTTAGCGTAGTCAAAAAGATCTGGGTTTAAAATCAAATACACCTTGGTTGTAACCTCAATTACATTTTTTTAATGTTCATACCATCCGATTACATCATTTTTTAACTTCTGCAAAATAAAGATGATAAACCTACTTGGCCCTGGCACATAGTAGGCACTCAGGGCACCCCAAATGCTATTAATAGTTTGTTTGCGTATTAAATATTCCTTTCTTCAAGAAAAGAGAATTAGAGTCCAGTAAATGTTGAATGAGTAGATAGCTGGAGGTTTTCTTTTGGTTTCTAATTCCTTACCCTGGCTTTTTTATGGGCATGATTTTGTTTGGGATTTTTTATTCGATTGTTTGTTTTTTGGAGACAGGGTCTTGCTGTGTCTATTAAGGTGGCGCATAATCTCAGCTCAGCTGCAGCCTAGACCTCGTGGGCTCAAGCAATCCTCCTACCTCAGCCTCCCAAGTAACTGGGACCACAGGCGCCTGTCATGCAGCCTGGAGCACTACCACATCCAGCCAACTTTTGTATTTTTTTGTAGAGACAGGGTTTCACCATGTTCCCCACGCTGGCCTCGAACTCCTGGGCTCAAGCAGTCCGCCTGCCTCAGCCACCCAAAGTACTGGCGTTACAGGCATGAGCCACTGCTCCCAGCCTATGGGTATGTTTAGTTTCAAGAGCCAAAAAGATTACCCCCAGATTCCTTGACTGAGTAATAATTACTTTGTCTTTGTTGAGGGAACATTAACCAAGGGATTCTGTCATTTCCTTGAAGACAATGGGTAAGTAGTACGTTTAAATTTGTTTTAAAAAATTATACTTGGCTGGGTGCAATGGCTCAAGCCTGTAATCTCAGCACTCTGGGAGGCCAAGGCAGGCGGATCATCTGAGGTCAGGAGTTCGAGACCAGCCTGACCAACACGGTGAAACCTGTCTCTACTAAAAATACAAAAATCAGCTGGGTATGGTGGTGCATGCCTGTAATCCCAGCTACTCAGAAGGCTGAGGCAGGAGAGTCGGTTGAACCTGGGAGGCGGAGGTTGCAGTGAGCCAAGATCATGCCATTGCACTCCAGCCTGGGCAACAGAGCGAAACTCTGTCTGAAAAAAAAAAAAAATTATAGTTAACATTATTCCACTTAAATACCTCTCCAGAAGTCCTACAAGAAGCCAGGGCGTGGTAGTAGTTGCCTGTAAGTCCCAGCTACTCAGGAGGCTGAGACAGGGTGATCACTTGGGTCCAGGAGTTCAGAGCTACAGTGAGCCATGATCATGCCACTACTGCACTCCAGCCTGGGGGACAGAGTAAGACTCTGTGTCTTAAAAACAAAAAAGTCACATGAGAAAACACCAATAGGTTATTTATTCATTTTGCTAAGCCAGAAACTTGGGAGGCATTGTCTTTTTTGTTTTCAGACAGAGTCTCACTCTGTCTCCCAGGCTAGAGTGCAGTGCAGTGGCACAACCTTGGCTCACTGCAACCTCCACCTCCCAGGTTCGAGCAATTCTCCTGCCTCAGCCTCCCCAAGTAACTGGGATTACAGGTGTGTGCCACTATGCCTGGCTGATTTTTGTATTTTTTTAGTAGACACGGGTTTTCACCATGTTGGCCAGGCTGGTCTCGAACTCCTGAGCTCAGGTGATCCACCCACCTCAGCCTCCCAAAGTGCTGGGTGTGAGCCACCACGCCCAGCCAACTGGGAGGCGTTGTTGACATGTTCTTTCCCACCATCCAGTTGATAATAAACTTCACTGCTTCTACCTGTCAACATCCTTGGGCCCAGCCCTTTCCTGCCTTGCCCTGTGTCATTACTTCATTGGGACTCTTCTCTCTGAACTGTGACCTTCCATCTGGTCATCTTGGCTCCTGTCCAGCACTCCTCAGTCCCATCCACCCACTGCAGCAAGAGAAATCCTTCCCAAATGCAAATCTCATTAGGTCAAGCCCTTGATTAAAACACTGCAGTTGTTCCTCAATGCTTTGAAGACAAAAATTAAAACCCTACCAGAAAATATAAGACTGCAGGAACTAGGTCCCTGCCGACCTCACCCCTCCCTTCATTTCCTATATTCTAGGCCTTCAGAAATACCTACAGTTTCTTGAACCTTTAGAGAACCTTCCATATATGCTTTCTCTAGTGTCAAGAAGGCTTTTCTTCCAAGACCATCCCACACTCCATTGTCCTATCCCTTCCTTTCACTCAGAGAGAGGCCAAATCATGTTTATCCTTCAAAACTCGAAAGTCACCTCCTCCGGAAAGCTCTCCCTGACTACCTCCGTTCATCCTAGTGGTCTGGGTTTGTCCTGATTAATTATATGGTTTTTCTTTTTTACCTTGAGACAAGGTCTCTCTCTGTTACCCAGGCTAGAGTGCAGTGGTGCAATTATGACACACTGCAGCTTCAACCCCTGGTGCCCCACCAGGCTCAAGTGATCCTCCCACCTCAGCCTCTCCAGTAGCTGGGACTGCGGGTACACATTACCATACCCACCTAATTCTTAAATTTTTTCATAGAGACAAGATTTCACTATGTTGCCCAGCTGGTGTTGAGCTCCTGGGCTGAAGCTCTCTGCCCACCTCAGCCTTCCATAGCACTGGGATTCAGGCATGAGCCACTGTGACTGGCCTTATCATACTATTTGTAGCATAGTATTGTCATTGTTTTCTTGATAATCTCCCCTACACTTGTCAAACTTCTTGAAAGCAGAGTCTGTGACTCACTTATCCTTGCTTAATTCACCCAGCAGTTATCCCAGGGCTTAGCATAAAACAATTGAAAAAATGTTTTGTTAAAGAACAGATATTGGCTTGGTGCAGTGGCTCACGCCTGTAATCCCAACTCTTTGGGAGCCCAAAGCAGGAAGATTGTTTGAAGCCAGGAGTTCAAGACCATCCTGGCCAACATAGTGAGACCCCTATCTCTATTAAAAAAAGAAAGAAAGAAAAGGCCGGGTACAGTGGCTGATGCCTGTAATCCCAGCACTTTGGGAGGCCAAGGCGGGCAGATCACGAGGTCAGGAGATCGAAACCATCCTGGCTAACACAGTGAAACCCTGTCTTTACCAAAAATACAAAAAATTAGCTGGGTGTGGTGGCGGGCACCTGTAGTCCCAACTACTCGGGAGGCTGAGGCAAGAGAATCGCTTGAACCCGGGAGGCAGAAGTTGCAATGAGCTGAGATCGTGCCACTGCATTCTAGCCTGGGCAACAGAGTGAGACTTTGTCTCAGAAAATAAAAAAGAAAAGAAAAGCTATTGTACTTCCAGAACCTGATCTTTATTGTAAAGCCCAATCACTTGTTCAGGATGAAATGAGACTAACTTGTCTGTAGGAATACCCCCACCTGACACAACCTAAAATCTGTCTTCCAAATAAAGATCACACAGCATTCTCTTGATGCTACATTTCAGGGACCATCTGTAATAACCTCTTAGAGCCAATCCTGGATGAAATGGTGAGTAAAATACAAATTGATTTCACAGGTTCTTTACTCCACTTTGCTCCCTTACCATGCCTCTCACTGCTCCCGCCTCCCCCAGCCTACCTTGCTATATCCCATCAAGTCCCCCAGGAGCACCTTCTATTTCTGATCTTTGCTTTTGTATTAGTTGCCTACTGCTGGATAATAAATCTTTCCCAAAATTTGGTGGCTTAAACCATGAATTGTTACTTCTTATGGTTTCTGTAGGTTAAGAATCCTGGGGTGAGCTAGGCACAGTAGTGCATACCTGTAGTCTTAACTATGTGGGAGGCTGAGTCGGGAGGCTTGTTTGGGCCCAGGAGGTCAAGTCCAGCCTGGGCATTAAAGTGACACCCTATCTCTAAAGACCATTCATGGTGGTGTACGCCTGTAACCCCAGCACTTTGGGAGGCCAAGAAGGGTAGATCACCTGAGCCCAGTAGTTTGAGACCAGCCTCTACCAAAACAAAAAATTAGCTGGGTGTCGTGGCACATACCTGTACTCCCAGCTATTCGGGAGGCTGAGGCTACAATGAGCCAAGACCATGCCACTGTACTCCAGGTTGGGCGACAGAGTGAGACTCTGTCTCAGAATAAATAAATAAATAAATAAATAAATAAATAAATAAATAAGAAATTTGAAGAATCGTGGAGCAACTTGGCTGGTTTATTCTGGCTTAGAGTATTTCGTGAGATTGTAGTCAGGTGTTGGCTGAGGCTGTGGTCATCTGAAGCTGTGACTGCAGGTGGAGGATCCATTTCCAAGGTGGCTTCTCCTGTGGCTGGCAGTTGGCAAGAGGCTGTAGTACCTGTGCATGTGGGCCTCTCCATGGAGCTACTTGAGCATC